CTTCCGGTGCCCCCGTAGCCCTCCACCTCCCCAGCCGCGGCTGCGGCCGCCCCTATCCCTACACCTTCAGCGGGCCCAGAACCACCAGGAGGCCCACCTTCAACTGGCCCGTAGCGGCCGAACGGTCCCGAGGGCCCCAGTGCACCCACTTTTACTGTATTATCCCAAACTTCCTGTGTAATTTGCACTTCTCACTTTTGACCCAGGTTTATCGTTACACTGATTCTCAACTTGTTCTGATCGCTGCGACTATTTTTTAAGGGGTAGCTACCCCACCTACTCCACAACCTTCGGTCACGTTCCGCACCTTTTTAATTTACTCCCGACCTTCTGATCTTTCCAGGTATAATTTTTTCTAATTTAAAATCGAATAACACACGACACTCGCATTTCGCTTCCCCACGCTGTTGCGTTACTTAATGCCGACGGTACCGGCGAATTCGAGCGTGGACCACTCCCTTATCTTTGGCCTATCTCGCCACTGATTTTATCAAGTGATTACCAATAACACCGTCCTGGAGGGTCCCTGATAAAATTTCAAAATAAAATTCGTACCCGCGTACGGGTTTTATACGTCATTCTGAGCACGTATCGATATCCGTGCTCGCTTTTACCGCGATTTTCGTCATTCTTATTTATATTGCTAGTGGTTTCTTAAAATACGTCGCACAGGTACTTTCATCCAGAGTGTAAGACGTCACCGATCACTAGAGTAACATCTTCAGGGTCTTAGACAGCTTATAAACAACACTATATCCTTATACAGTTTTTAAAAATATTCTCTGTTCGATTAAACACTCCTCCGACACTTATTTCAATGTCAAACTGTTTTCGAACGGTCGTCCACAATTTTTGTATCACAGAAAGAAGAGGTGAGGTCGCCGACGATGGTGAGACCGAGAAATACACGCGACTGGCCGGCTTCTCCGTGGCTGAGAGCAACTCGGAGCAGTCGAGAACGCAGCAATCCCGGAGCACGCTCGCTTCGAGTTCGCCAGCCAACTGGCTGCACCTGCGGATACAGACCCCACTACACTTTGGGCCTACAGGAGTAACCGCCTCACGGTTACTTCTCTTGACTCCGCCCATGGTGCACTACCCTGACTGCTTAACGTTCATTGGACATGATACCAAGGAGAGGGCGTTTCCAACCCTCTATGGAACCAGACATGGCCGCAGAATGGCTGCGGATTTCGAACGGCGCGCAGAACCACCACGGAAGCCGCCACTGCCACCACCGTCGCCACTGTTCCTGGCTGCTCCACGAAATAGGCTCCTCTCTTACGTCTATCTCTCGGCCTATTGATCCCATCCTGTCGAGAGTCGTCGGAATGCCACAGGTTTCAGGATTCTCGCGGGCTGACCGCTTACGACTGCTGATTTTACACAATTGCTAAATAGTACGATGCTCTTGTTTTATTCTTGGACATTTTATGTTTATTTTCAGACGCCCTTATTCGTTCTGGTATAATTTTCAGTCGTCAATTTCGACGTGGTCTGGCATTATTGACATGCTGTAGGAGACTTACGAATTTTTAGGTTGATTTTATTTTAAATTTACTCAAATGGCTTAGCTTCAATTTTTTCAAGGTGTTTCCTTCGTTTATGGATTCATCCAAGTTATTTGACGACTGTTCATGATTTGGGCAGTTTCTATCGTTTGTTTAACCAACTATAGAGACAGGATATTTTGGTTGGAAGGATGAATAGTCTTTAATTGTTTTCTACATGGTTTGAGACTTTCTAAGTGCGCATAAAGTCTTGTTATACTTTAACATTAGACTTTTTTTTTATATGAAAGCACATAAATACTTATTTCGATTATTACCTTTTTCATGTGAATATTTAATCGGCAATAGAAAAAATTCGTTTACCCATACCTATGGACCTACTGGCAAAGTTTCTAAGACACGTGCTTGTTTTTTCTTGGAAAAGTAAATAAAAAGAAAGGAGCATTACCGCACAGTTTGTTCAATTGTAAAATAAATATCGGACCGCCTTTCATCTAACGCTGTTAACCCACGCAAAAATCCTTTCTAGTGACTAAATGATATTGGCAAAAAGTGCCATTTCCTGGCCAAGACAATGTCGGCCGTCAAAGCCCGCCCGAGTGCGAGAGACCATGAGAAATAAAAGATGAGTATGAAAAAACCATAACGAAAAAAAAAAATGAAAATTTAAACAACGGAGGACAAAACGAAACCCCGACTTAAGAGGAACACTGTTTCTCACCGTTGGTGAACCGCAGTGAGGGGCGTGTCTCGTGACTGGACGTGAAAGAGCGATAGACAAGAAAGAAAAAGATAAAGAAAGAAATAAATAGAATAGATTTTCAAAAGAGAGCAGCAAGGACGTGTATAGGCGCGATAGACGCCCGAAGGCGATGGTCGATGGATCGTCCTGTTTCCCGGTAAACACGTGGGGCTCCCGAACCAGCAGACAAGAAAAAACGAACAATATCAACAACAAAAAGTAATGAGAGCCGGTAAAAAAAATAATTAACCCAACCATGAGAACAGGCGAGAGGCGTGTGTCGGTACTTTAGTTTCTTTCCTTTTTCTATGGATCTATTTTTTTATTTACTCATTCTTTATCCACATCGAACTCTATTTACTTAGAAGAATCATTGCAGACCTATTTCTTTCTTTTTACAAAGTATATAGAAATATCTTACAATATGCAATAGATTGCTTGTATTATTAAAATATACAGAAATGTATCAGACAGATTCTGAATATTTATAGCAACTGATATTTTATAAAATTTATCGCATTTACTCTCGTTTACCTCGATTGCTTTAAGGCCGCCATTGCAGCGCACTGTACCATCCTTTAAAGCTTCGCGCACAAGGGTTGTACCGACATTGCTTACTTAGGTTGTTTTCTATCAATAGCAAAACTCAAATCTGGATCACTTGCCAGAATCGTTCCTTGTAGATTGTCATTCTCGCACTGCGTTTGAGATCAACACTACAGTTATCAGAAATGGTTAGGTATCCGCCCAAGCTCCTGACATTAACCAGTTGGGAAGACTTTGCTCGTGTCAGACATGCGTGCAGGAGTTACCTAGATGTTATAATGATTGTTATGTGCGTTTAACACGCAAGTGTACTTAACTTATCGCTGAGGTGACGATGATCTACTGAGTTCACGCTATAGCACCTTATAAAACTTCATTCTGTCTGACTACTTTTTGACTCTCCCCATTAGTGTCCGGTTGAATCTACTTGGCACGCTGTTGTATCGACTGAGCAGATACAGAAGAATTTGTTCTACTTATCGTTTGAAAGTAAAGGCGTACTGAAAAATACAAAGGAAGATATACAATTGTGGATAATCGATAAAGATTTATATTTCTATTAAAGTAGTAAGCACTTTAATATGTATTAAATAACATGTTTATATTTTATATAATTTATAACAATCCAGGAAAATTAAATTGCTTTTTACTTGGGGAGCATTAAGATTGTACTACTTTCATTCAATTTTCTATTGATTTTTACATCAATCGAGCTCCTTGTGGGGATGATATCCAGTCCAGTTTCTGTAAGTGGCATTCATGGCTTTTTCTACACCCACGTCAATAGGATGTATTATAAATGGAATGGAGATTAGGCCAATAATTGTACAGACCCATGGACTTTTACCTATAGGACCTTTTTTGAACGTTTGTGCGTACCGAACTCCAGCACATATCCTATTTATGGTCAGTCCCGGTATTATAACAGAAGCAAAGCCCTGCCAGAGAAGTGTATCTGACACAGATAAAAGCATTCGTTTATTTTTCAACGGTGAAGAGTCTTTCTGAAAGAGAAAATATAACACTTAATAAAGGTTGCTTATTTTTCATTCATTTAAGTAATTATTTAATATCAAATATACCTGATGAACTTTCCACCCCTTGTCTAGAGTGTCAGCCAGAACGTAGCCACTGGATATAATGTAGCTTAGCCATACTATTGACTTTGGTACGATACTCCTGAAGGCCTCACCTACTTCGTTTGCATATCCTATACGTCAAACAGAAATAAATGACGTTTGACACTTTCAAAAAATACACTTTTCAGCACTTCATGGAGTGAATAAGTCTTTAATTTCTAAATCTGTACGTGCACCTCAATGCAAAACGTACCATGAAAATATTTGAAAAGCAATTATATAGTGCTATGACAGGCATTGTCAAGCTGTCTACCATTACCCAGATATCTCACAGAAGTGTGCCGATATAAATCCACTTCACGCTCTTTATTAGCCATCACTGATTGGCCCTTTAAATAATTTTACACAAAAGAATAGCATAACACCCTCTAGGGAGCCTCCTCTATCACATACAGGGGGTCAATATTTTGTTGCAGTCGCACAAATGCATTGGCGGCATTGGCGCGGGTACCAGATTTGTGTTTGAATTTCTTCTAGGGAATTTAAAAGAGTGGTTATTGGTGGTTATACTGTTACATAATCAGCTAAATTCATTACGATAGTTTCCTTGGGGTGGATTTGCATTTGTAGACGTTTCATGTTTATTTATCACTATTTATCATGCAAAGTGTAAACTGTACGGGCGTCCAAAAACGACCAATTAAGACAGGATAAGTTATTTGTAAGAGTATGGCGTGATATATCTTTTTATGTCAAATATATTATAAACATTCGTTTTTACCAATGTCTCGTGAATAATCACCAGGTGTGTTCACATTTTACAAGGCTTCCAAATTTAATATCGAAGCCATCGCTGTTTATCAAATATATCCATGAGTGGAATTATAGTGATTTTATTGAAATATAAAGCGTAATATAATAATCAAGTTATCATTTCGCGGTAAGTACCATTAATATTTTTGGAAATTATATTTAAATGTATAGATATGGACTAATTACAGTCATTTATGTCAATTCACATTTATTACTAAAAATTAACGTAATTTTTTATATATTTATATTTAAACTTTACAATTACATGCCTCAGGATAAATTGAAGAATTAATAAAAAAAAATTTATACTAAAAGTATTTAGTTACCAATATTTTGTACATATTGAAATATATCTATTGCTTTTCTTTATTGAACAATTAGTTTTGTAAATTATTTAGTTATACTTTTGTAATGCATCTTTATTATAAAATTGCAACAGATTTTATTAAGCTCTTCTGATAAACAGCAGTTAAAGTAATAAGAAGGCTAAACTTTAAACAGGTTAGCAATGGCTGATATACCTACCAGAGAAGCTGAAATACCACAAAACATAGGCACACCGCAGCGTATAAGTATAAATACCATGAGACATCCATCTGGATTGCTAATGACACATTCATCACAGCCACTTCAAGCGCCACCAACAACAATTAATATTGGTGGTATAAATTTAACTGGTAGAACTGCAGAGCATTCAAGAAACTTTGCAAACAATATATCCACGGCTATTGAAGAAATAAGACCGTTGCTTGAGCATGCACGAATTGTAAATAAGTTAATAATATATAAATTCTTTATAATTCCCACCATCTTTTTTACTCCATTTTGCATTCTCTTTGTTTATAGAATCCTGGCATCTCTTTAACATCCTGGTTGAATATTCAAAGGCAAGAGCAAAGTATTACACCACAGCAAGGTTCAGATAGTTATGTGATAAATCTTGATAATCAACCATCAACCAGTACAATCAATATTAATCAAGACTCCACTAACGATCATCTTCATTATAATTACCATCACACAACAGCTACAGATAATTTTCTGAACAACATTCGGGAAGCTGCTAATGCAGAAAATCAGAGTAACAACAACAATGCTGATGAAGGACAACCAAGTACGCTTAGGCTCAGTGGAGAAGCACGGGCAATGCTTGAAGTCATTGAGAAATATGTTCCCTTCCTGTTGATGCTACTTAGCAAAGTCATTTACGATCAGCTATCGCGAATATTAAATCTACTAGCTCTTCTCTTTGCTTTCATTTACGTAAATGATTTGTTTAAACGTGAAGTAGCCAAACGACAACACAGAAGTCAGTTGGCACTTCTTCGTATTTTATGCTTCATTGGTTGTTGCATAGTCCTAATATATTTTATGGACGATGACTACATATACAAATTAATACCATATGCAGAACCACATACAGTATGGGAGCTCCTATGGACTGTTGCTATTCGTGACATTATGTTAAAACTCATCACTATAGTGTTCAAAGTAATTCTCAATTGCTTGCCAGCAGGGGTACTGGGATTCCAGAAAAGGGTAAGTCAAATAATTATAACTGAAATATTCCGTAATATGGAAACAATGTTTTTTTTTCAAGGGGAAATATTACCTTATGATAGAAGCAACATCACAGCTGTACCGTTCCTTAGCTCCCATACAGCCATGGCTGTATTACTTGTTTGATTCATATAAAGGACCAGAAAGTGTGATAAGCATATGTTTAACTGTTGTGTATTCTACATCTAAAAGTGGAGATATTGTGTCACGTGCTAAATTGTTCCGTACAGCCGCCTGGAAAATATTTCAAAATGTGGTACGTTTGTGAACAATGTTTCTTAAGGGTTCATTGTTTAATGATATCTTTCCACCTCATATTCCCACTATTTGTAATTTTTTTTAGAAATTAGGAGTTTCTCCATCAAAAGAACAGCTTATGACGTCCGGTGGTGTCTGCGCTATCTGTCTTGAGGAATTTACAATGCCTGTACGTCTTCACTGTAAACACATCTTTTGCGAGGGTTGTGTACTGACGTGGTTAGATAGAGAACGTTCCTGCCCTTTATGCCGTACTCCTATAACAGATGTTCCAATATATAGAGACGGTCATACAACTTATTTTATACAATTGTTTTAAAGGTTCGCCCACCAAGTTATATGGAAAAGAATTTTTACCATTTGTATACGTTCATGCACACACGCATAACTTTTTTCCACATTGCTCACACACAGGATATATCCCTTTTTATTTGATTTTCTTTTTATTACCTTATCGATTTTTCGATGCGTTTACCTTTTTATGTGTAATGAACATTTTATACATGTAAAACCTATTGTATATGTCCTCGTCGCGATTTTTTCACTAGTTCTTAAGGGAACGTGATCAGGGTGTAAAGATTCGATTTCCTTGAAAGTTTAAACAACAGGATAGCAATCTTGTAAAATAATTTGTACATACGTATATAAAGAAAAAAAAGCTGATTTCATAATTGCAAAGAAATTTGGATTTGCAACACTACAGAATCAGCTACGTTGCTATTGCAATGTGTATTCTTATATCTTTGTAATTATGAATTCATGTGTCGTATACGGTCTGTTTGCGTATACATGTATATTTATATGTACATATACATCTATACTTTTCTTTATTATCACATTGCACAATTCGTGCAGTCTTTCTTTTAAAAAAAATATTTGAAATCTATATATGCTAATATGGGGCACATAAAAGCTCTTGAATGGAAATGCGTGTCGGTTTCATAGATGACTGCGGCCAAACTTGTATAAGGTAAAACAAAGTACCAAGATAGACAATAAACTGTCGATTATGAGAACATATTTGTTTACTTTATTACATAGGAAAATAAGCTTATCGGCTTAATCACATGGTTATTTATTCATTTTCAATTGAGTCTGAAAATATTCGCCATCGCCGCGTGTCGCTTGCCGATTGATTTCTTTGTGCCTGTCCCGGCTGACGATCTCCTCCAGGACCTCACCGTCGCCTTTGATTAGTCTGATGATAAAAGAATAGATTTTATACTTGTGCAAGAAGGACTGGAATAATTTAACTAATTTTATTACTAAACAGTTCACCTGTGCCTGCCAGTTTCCTCATCATAGACTCGTCGTACCACACTCTGTCTTTTTTCCCACTCTTCCTTAGTCATCGGTGCCATTGCTCTAGCACGGTCTGGAATATCATGTGGAATGTCCTTTAATAGCCTATCCTCAGAATGTGTAACAACCTTTTTAACGTTTTTAGCCTTTTTCTCTTTGGCTGCAAGCTTCATTTTCTTTTTTAATTTTTTTATCTTGTCTTTCTTCTTCCTTCGCTTTTTCTTAGCTTTCTTTAGTTTCTTTGCTAACTTCTTTCGCTTTTTGCGCAGTTTCTCATCTTCTGAAGTACTACTACTACTGCTACTTGAATTACTACTACTGCTGCTGCTACTACTGACGTCTGTATTGGAGCTGGATGAGGTTGAAGAGGAACGACTTCTTCCTTGTTTCTTTGATTTCTTTGAAATTATATCATTGTCTATAGAAGAACAAGGATGTGAATTTGTAAGAGATCCTCCTTGCACGTTTTTTGATATTGCATTTGTATTTTCATCAGTTGGATCTTTTGGTGTTTTCCTAACATTAATATAATTTTCTCTCGTTTGGCTAGATTTATATGAATAGTCTCTACTCCTGTTACTAGCTCTTGGATCTTGATCTCTATAATTTCTATTCCAGCGATTTCTACCTCTTGACCTTTCAAAATTTTGGGAGTATCTTGAAAAATATGTATTCCTTGTGTATGACTTATCATGGTATCGATTCTGCCATCCATATGGTTTACGATCTGAAAATGTCCTCTTCATATCTGTTCCATTAGTTCGCTCTTTTGATTTTTCCTTCGTCTTTGATCTTGTACCTCTATCCTTTGATGATCTATCATGTGCAGTGTCAGGAGAACTAGAACTACTGGAGGAAGTACTAGAACGTTTGGATTTCTTTCTTTTATCTTTGCTGCATGCATTTCTTCTTTTTACAGAGACATCAGAGTCACTTGAACTGGTAGATGATGTACTTGATTTCCGGAGTTTTTTCTTTTTAGGTGTTTTAATACCACGATCCTTGGACCGTGACTTACGTCTTACACTGTCGTTCATTCTTTATATCAACAATGATTTCTATGAATTAAGATTTCTCTTATCTCCCTTATAGGTTATGAGACAATTACATCGACATATTATATACAATAATATGATTGAAATTTCAATCTTGATTTACTTTATTGGTATCAAAACAGGAACTCTTCAATTTAATTGATTATTGCTAATAGTACATGTAGCAACAACTAACAATATTCACTTTTTCAGTAAACTCAAATAAGATTTTATATAAGTCATTTTGAAATCACATGTTTTTGGAATACTGTTCGAAATTATTTATACGTATAAAAATTACTTATCTTCAGCACGCGTTTAGGTTTAAAAATCACAAGTTTCAAATTAATTCGAACCCGCATGAAGATGTAATCAACCGGTTACTCCCCAAGATGGCAGACAAGACTTTCAAGTCATTACTGGCCCTACTAAAAATATTTCCATTTTCAACAGAATATTTATTTAAGTCATCATCATTTTTACTTAAACCAGAAAATTCATATTGTATTATATTCAATGTAATATGAAAATTACATAACCTTCTAAACAACGCATGTTATTTGTTTTAAACCCTCAAATCATAATGGACATAAAAAAAGATTGAATATTTTTTTTAATGTTTGAAGACTGCAATGTAAAAATTTAGCAAGATTTTATAAGGATAAAAAATCATCAGTAGCATCAATACTAATAAAGATGGCTAGGATGGGCGGAAGATGCCAATGTAAAGAAAAAGTAACGTATCTAGGCACGTTTGGTTACCTTTTCATATATAACTTTATTTATTATTTCTTATGCGATTATTCATAAAATCCATAAATAACAATAGTTATCGAATGAACAAGGTTTGTTCTTTAAGAGACCATGAAGTATCAATGGAAAATTTCTTACCATTGATAAGACTGACCCTGCACTGACCCTATAATAACGAAACTCGCCTAAACTCAATAACAAAGTGTACAATGACCGAACATTACTGATATGAGAGTAACTTGTATTCTACTCTTTATGGTTAAGATTTAAAAAAGTGAAATCACATAAGTTTATCAGGATGTTTAAAGAAAAAATTATTTACAAAGATTTGGACCATATAAGATATCCGTCTACTTGACCCCAGGTCAAGAATTATCAGCATTGCACTTAATCTTCAATTCACAGTCCACAGATGCATTTGTGAGGTATAAAAATTTGGAACCAGCACTTTGTTTGGAATTGAAAAAGATTGTGGAAGCTATGAAATCCCCAGGAAAAGGAATACTCGCTGTCGACGAGTCACCAGCCACTTTAGATAAAAAATTTCAAGAAATGGACATAACAAGTACAGAAAGCATTCGTCGAGATTATCGACAAATGTTATTATCAACTGACAAGGTCCACCTGCTTTCTGTCATATAATAAAAATAATTTCCAGAAGACGATTATGAATCACCAATACAAATCATAATCAGAATACAGCTTATCTTAAATTACATCTGGCTGCATAATTTGTTTTATAAATACAGACTCGCCTGAATAAGTGCATAAGCAGTGTCATTCTGCATCATGAAACTGTATATCAAAAGACATCAGACGATGTAGAATTCATTGAATTTGTTCGACAAAAGAATTTGATTCCTGGTGTCAAAGTCGATAAAGGACTGGTCAATCTCTTTGGAACTGATAATGAAACAACCACACAGGGTTTGGATGAACTACAGGAAAGATGCATCCAATACAAGAAGGATGGTTGCCATTTTACAAAATGGCGATGCACTTTTTCTATTTCTGATTCTCAGCCATCGTATTTAGCAATGTTAACAAATGCCAATGTCCTTGCAAGGTAGCCATTGTTTCTAATGACAGAATAATGCACTGGTCTTTTTCCTCGTACCTATTCGTACATTTCAGGTATGCTAGTATCAGCCAAAGTGCAAGATTGGTACCGATTATTGAGCCTGAAATATTGAATCAAGGAGAACATGGGATAAATCGGTCACGCCAGGTTCACGAAGAGATGCTGTCAATTCTCTTCAGGACACTTAATGAACATCGTGTCTATCTCGAAGGGATTATCCTGAAACCTTCAATGGTCTTGGCAGGACTTGATCATGCAAGATATTGCAAGCCACAAGTAATTTTAAATACATTACTTATAATAAAACAAAATTCAGTATTGCAGAATGATAATTATTGCAGATCATTGCAGAGAGCACAGTATCGGCTCTACAAAGAACTGTACCAGCTGCAGTGCCTATGATTGCATTTCTTAGTGGAGGACAAACGGATGAGGAAACTACGTTGAATTTAAATGCAATTAATCAATATGAAGCAGTAAAACCATGGACTCTCACTTTCTGCTTTGGTCGAGCCCTTCAGGTGTGCTGTATAGAATTTTTCGAATTGACCTAGGGTTTTTTAAATTTTCAGTTGATTTAGGGAGGGAGGGCTAATTATTAGTCCTCTGTTTGATATAGAACGAAGCAATAAAAGTATGGCAGGGTGATTCAGGAATGACTACTGAAGCTCAAGAAATATTTTTGAAACGTGCAGAAATTTCGTCGGCTGCAGCTCAAGGCACATTGCCAGTTGAGGATATAGAAAAATGTTTAAAAAGTACAGAAAACATAATATAACGAGAACATACTACTTTTCAATTTCATCAAGATCTCTCATCGTGAAGCTTTTTAGTGACAGGCACTGATCATTATAAAATACTCTATGACTCAGCTGATTATAAAAAATATTATCAGGTTAACTGAACATCACCTGACAGGTCATCTGAACTCTTATTAAAATCGATTGACAGATAAGGACAAAATCAATTGCCAAAGTTTTTTAGCTATTTTTTTATGCAATACACATCTACGTATCTACGCCGGTCGTATTATAAATAATAATCTTTCTTTTATCTCAATTCAGTGTCATGGAGGCTTGTGAAACTAATCAGTGAACGTAACATAAATTAATTCAGTGTTGATAATACTACGTTGACATATAGTAAAACGTCTTGAATATTGGCCCCCTTGATGATTACAACAATCTTTGAACTATAGTTATTGTTGATTCATTAAAATTGTAAATTGTGACAATCAAAGTTCATTACGTCGAGATAAATTACAAAAATAGAACCATCAATAAACATCATTATACATTATATTTCTTCACTTCAAAAATGTCGTTATGACATACAATTGTTTGACTTATGAAATATCGTAAAAGCTGACAAAAATAAAATCAAAATATCCGGTTTCAATATTTTTAGTCGTAACACGATATACTATTTGGAAAATTAGTCTAGCACTAATGAACATGTCGCCAGTATATATGACATTGAAAATACAATAGTCAGCGATGTTTGGATAATAACGAAATTAGACCTAAGGAGAACGCTACTTAAAATCGGCATTTAAAAGGGAACTTCTAACATCGTCTTTAAAAATATTCCCTAGAAGTGCTTTCACGGAAAACTGTTTAAAAAGCCCAATCAGAAAAACTACGATGCACCTGCAAGTAAACTACTGTCTCTGGAGCTCCAAGATTAGTGTGCAATGAGTTAAACCATTGAGATTCTAATATAACCTTAGCAGTGAAAAGCTCAGTCAATGATCGTGATGAAAGTCAAACAAGGTGCCCTTGATTGACCTCCACAGCGATGGTTCTCAACAAGCGGTTCCCAGGGTATACGTGAGCATCGCGACGAAAGTTTCCGTCAAGGGTTGCGCGTTTACTGGTCGATATGTCGTCATACTCTCCCATTTCGACCAATGAATGGAGTGCCACGCGGTGTAGTTCAGGGGCGTCTCAACGGCGCAATCATCTGAAAAATATTGTACTATTGTAATTTAAAAATTGAAAATTAAATGAATTTAATTCTTAAACCAAAAAAGATATATAATTAACAATATTTCTTAGCGCGTCTCAAACATAGTAATAGATTTAAAAAATCAATTTTAATCTAATGCAACTTTTATAAAAGTGTCAGTTATTTCATGGCATTTCACAATTTCCGTGAAAATTACATTTCACAGTATTCCTATAAAACGTATATCAAACGCTATATACTTATGATAGAAATTAGTCTAAAATTGAACGACTATGGTACCGACAAATGAAGTAAGATAAAAATAAATATGATAAAATACAATAGGAGCATAATTTGTCTATAATTTACTTTAAATAAAATTCTTAAAAAAAATTTATGATAACCAAATTAACGTCTGATATTCAGGACAGTAAGCATCAATGAAGCTAATACTGATTCCAAGTAATCTATAAGACATAATCAATGTATACAGTATCTGGTAATAATTTCTGGGTACTGAGAGACCCTCTTATGTATACGGTACTGTTGAGCTGGGTTTAACGCGATAGCTGGAACCTTGATAAAGGAGTTGAGAGCCACGAAGTAGCCACTCTGTGCGCAGACGCGACTGTATTTTAGACTTCGAGTTGCTCGGTCGTTCAGTCGCTTTCCATCTAGTCAGCGATACATCTGCGCCGGCCGTATTCTCTTCAACACAAATAATTTTCACAGCACGTAAGTTAATCTATCACTTCAATAAACAAATAAGTATGGCGGTGTTTATCATGATTTTTACGTAGAGATGATTGTTTTTCAAATTATCAATACTTCCTGAGGGAGTGTAGTGATCTTGCTCGGATTCTTGAATCGACCTTGACTGACATTTAGTTGACACTCATGCTTCACGAGGAGATACGTATCAGATAGGAATACTTGCACATTTTCATGTATTTTTTTTTCGAATTGGATTCTTGGTGCGGATTTATGGCGTTTTTGGCGGTAAAGTGTCACTTGTTAATTCAACTTTAACTCTGCGGCTCTTTTACTTGATGAAAATGACTGCATTTAAATTTTGGAGTACCTCTGAGATTTCAAAATATAAATATATTCAGTAATTATTAGTTTAATAATTGTAAGTAATAATAAAATGAATATGAATTGCAATAATGGTGGACGGATCAAAGAAAACCAGAGAGTCCGTTACCCTGCTGTCTTTTATACAGCACCCCAATTTCTTTATGAGGTCTACCCTTATTTCAATAGACGAGAACATATTGCAACTGCCAAGGATTCTTTCGTCTCTATTCACTAACGTAGTAGAAGTTTCCAGATACGCTATAGTAAACTTGGAATTCTGTACAACGTCATATTCACATCATTTACTTTAAACAATAAAAGGAAATAGAACGTCATAAACGTTTATCTACTGATTGTGTAAAATTCCATTCAGTTAAGGAGTTCAAAGAGTTATCAGAGAAGAGGATTATGCAAGAATTAACTTGCAACGACGCCAATAAATTCAAGAACGACAGTTTATGTACAATCCTGAAGACATTATATATATAACGACCAGTCGATGGTAGTACACAACATCTATTTTTTGCATCCAAAAATTTCACGCCCATTTCAACATACGTTACGACAAGAATGCCTCCTTGGCGGTTTACCAGTGCCACACCAAGAAAAATCACTTGATAACTTTCCCGTTCGAAACGGAGTCAAACTGCGTTCTGCGTCATTCAAACTGAACAAGCATATACATTTCCAAAGATATAATAAAAAAGAGTTTTAGATAAATATTAACAAATAACACAAGGAAAGAAACAAGAAATTGCTTCAGAAGAGCTGAATACGAGCACATCACACTCGTATAACACAAGCTCCGCGAGTCTACTGACTCTTTCGCCACATGACGCTGACGTCCTACCTTTTAAATATTATGGGAGAACAGTACGCGCATGCGCAATAGGACGAAAGGTTGAACATTATTTCAGTGTATTGACCGTCAGCTGGATAAACTAAACTGACACAAATATACGTAACAGTCTGCAATATTTGTCACAGTCAAAGTTACGTCCCAGATTTTTTTGACATGCATTTTAATATTTGGTAATCAATCTAGAGACGCATATGTATCTACGCGATACGCACGTACTTCATTGACATACAGGGTTAAAGATTTGAACAATATTAAAACTCGCGCATGTGTATTTCTCAGTCTGTTCCTCTGCTTTACTGTACCTGCCAAACATTCAGCGTGTATCGACCCTAAAAAATGCGTAGAATTGTAGTTATTTCTTAACGTAAGGATGCTATAACTTATCAATCTAAAAGATCAATAGTCCCGTTTCTGAGGTATACGTAGTGAAAATAACCTAAATGGCACAATACAAAGATACTTGTTGCGTTAATTTGACGTGATAGATTTCGGCTTTTTAAAAAATTACTCCCACCGTTTTTTTAATCCAGACAGTTGGAATTAATTTTTTTAACTTTTTACAACTATGCTTAAACAATATGGAGCATGAAAATTATAAAATGTATAAATCTCTGATCAAAGCTTGGTTCCATGATGATATTGTTACGTAGCAAATATTTTTGAGAGTGGCATGTAATATTTATTCACGAAAGGAATAGAACTCCTATCTATAAGAAACAGGTCGTACTTCTTTCAAAAGTCGTACATAGTTTAGAATTGATCTTAGCGTTCATATTCTTTTTGAGTTCCTCTTCACACACATCCTACAATGGATTGAATAAGAAGTAGCAGTATTTGCTATATAAAAAGTTCTTTCTGGGGAGTAACTTCTGCTTCACTGCACCACGATATTATTCTGTCTTGCCGTTTTTTTTTTGTGATTTAAAGCCACTTTAACTATACAGCTTCCATTTATGTTAACAATATTTTTCGTCATTGTCTTATAACGGTCTCTAATCAAAATGACACCTTAGAAATCTCTCTGAACTTACGACATTCTATTTTTAGTCTAACATAAGTTGACAGCAGTTTGAGTCACGTGCCAGGCTCATGCACCCTATACAAGTCCTTGACATAAGACGACATTTGTTATTTCGAAGGTTCTATATTGCTTGATTTACCAATCAAATTGGTTCAAGATTTATTGTTACGGCGCCAAACTCAAATGATAAAAAAGTCCATCCGAAAAGATCAACAGTATAAAATTTGAAATGAATTTGAATAGTCAAGGTCGATTCACTTAACAGTTACGTGTTATGCGACTATAGGTATGTTCTGAATATTACTGCCAGTACTGTGACCCTGTGACCAACGCTGTGTCCTTATTCATCCGTACGCATCTAAGAGAGATGTAATTACTTTTATAGTATTGTCAGTAAATTTCGGAATACATCCTATAGTAATTTTTACGCTCAATTGGCAATAATAAAAAATTCAATAGGCATAGCAGTGGCGCAGACAAATACTCGTTGTCACGTCCGTGTCTGTAAACATCGCTGAACCAAAATAAAAATAGAGCACTAAAGGAAAGTGAGGTTAAACGTTTCCTAAACACCTTACTGTTTCATGCATATTGCGTACGTTTTTATGATCGATCGGGACGTAACAGCTGAAACTTTGAAACGAAGACAACCACGAATTATACATAAAAAATTCTCACTGTACTCACTAGCAACTCTCTACAAACAGTCCAAAATGACCTTACTATGTTGACAAATGGTTAAGGCTGAAATTAGTTATGCTCTCTCACGAGTCTCAATATTTTCCTACGTCTAACTTCGTAAATCAAATAATTTCTTTTAAAATTAGTGACGAAGCTCCATTAACGTTCGTACATAGCCAATTTATTGCACAGGTTAATCCAAAAGGTTTCTGAGCCAATAACAAGATATCTAAGTGAAGTTTGAAAAAAAAAATTAATTCTAACATTAATTCCTTCCTTTATCACAGTGTAATATATTGATACCTAACTTTACATGATAAACAAACTAATCACTCGATAGAGTATATATACATGCAACTTATACAGAGCAAGCAATTTGAATGATAAAAATAGGTAAGCTTCCAAGGTGGAGAGCCATGGTAAATACGATAGGGCATAAAAGTCCTGGATTAAAGCAATCATACAGATATGCCGTAATCGAGTAATACTTGCATTCTTATTTGATTAAATTTTCCACACTCAATGAACATCACGTTTCTCTTTGAATCCATTTACATGATAGATACTCATTTCGGTGCTTCCTGTTGGCTATAATTTATCCTAACATCCGGAAGACCAGGAAATGTTATAATCCAAAGTTACGGTACCCAGTGCGCTCGTCCTGACGTTTCAGGTCATCCTAGGGGTGCGCAGACGGTTGATCAGCCAAGCTCAGAACGTCTGCGCGTGCTGCATTGCGGCTAGCCCTCTCCTCGACGTAGCTGAGACCCTCGGTTGTTACGGCACTGCACCAGTTCGGTGCCATCTCTCGCGTTAGGAGGTACTCGCTTCGGCATCATTGAAAAAATGTAGTCGGAACGGGATTCAGGGCCCTGCCATTTTTTATTAATTAGGCGGTGGCTTTGATAATCTCTCTCTCTCTCTCTCTCTTTCTCTTTCTCTTCTTGCCTTTACTTATCGTTAATTCGGTGTATCAGTGTTACTTATGCACAGCTAGTTGCACGCGTTAATTTTTGTATTCTTAATTATTACATATTATCCGTATGTGTTTTATTATACCGCCACTTTAGAACTTTCGCGTTTCCTCCGCGATATAATATAATACTTAAAGCTGAAGTATATTTAAGAAATGCTAGTCATTGCGTGGATACGCTATGATGGCAGAGAATTCTTTGCGCTATAATAAATTATAATTGTTATATAAAATATTAATTACGGATTTGCGGTATTTATGGAGTTCAGTTGTTTTTTCGGAATCTGTTCGTGTGGATGAAACTGGTAAGGTCCAAAAATTTGTATTCTGAATATTTTGAGTTTCTTAGTCGATTGACTCCCGGTTTTACGATACACTGACAAGCGTGGCAAATAAATTTTTGAAAATTGGAAGGGTTCCGCTCAGACAAATGTTACGTATTGTTGTTTGCATCTAGTCAAGACGAATACGTCTCAAAAATATGTTATTTTAAGCCAATGTATAAATTTATAGATTAATACTGTCGATTATTCTAATTGTTAGATTAAAATAAAATTTGATTAATCTGTATGTCTTATAACAGTCATCGGTTATCATGCTGATCAATCGTGAACGTTTAACATTCGTATCCTATTGGTAGATTCAAAGTTACTTTATCAAAATCGTTATTTTTCGAAGCAAACACCGCAAACGCTCATTCCCCATAATATGATAATCATATATATTTTTTTAAGTGGTTAAACTTCCTGTTTTCCACAAAATATCCACATATATAAGTAAGAAAGCAATGCGTATCGTGTGTCAGTACATTTAGCTAATTCTGTCGCAATTCAAACATACTCATTTTTCTTATAAAAGAGGTTAGTAACAGAAGTTGCATTATCCACAGAAAAATGCCAGCTGATACATACACAAAGGCTGAACCCGAGCTTAAGCAGGAGCTGAAGAGGATTGCTGAAGCCATTGTCGCTCCCGGCAAGGGTATTTTGGCTGCTGACGAGTCCACGGGCACCATTGGAAAGCGTCTTCAGAGCATCAACTGCGAAAACACCGAAGATAATCGTCGTGCCTATCGTCAGCTTTTGTTCACCACTGATAAGGTAATAATTCAGGACTTATTAATTTTATGGCAAATCATAGATTATTTTATGTAAGTATTGTCATAATTTTAATATTACTGACAGGACGTCATCAGTCAGCACATCTCCGGCGTGATCCTCTACCACGAGACCCTCTATCAGAAGGCTGATGATGGCACGCCGTTCGTTGAGTTGCTGAGGCAGCGTAACATCATCCCCGGCATCAAGGTCGATCTTGGGGTCGTGCCTCTCTTCGGCACCGATGACGAATGCACCACCCAGGGTCTGGATAACCTCCAAGCTCGTTGCGTCCAGTACAAGAAGGACGGATGTGACTTTGCCAAGTGGAGATGCGTGTTAAAGATTGGCAAAGACAAGCCCAGCAAGCTTGCTATTTTGGAGAACGCCAATGTCCTTGCACGTTACGCTTCCATCTGCCAGAGCGCGAGAATCGTTCCCATCGTCGAGCCTGAGATCCTGCCCGATGGTGATCATGATCTTGCACGTTGCCAACAGGTCACCGAGGAAGTCCTTGCAGCAGTCTACAAGGTAAAATGGGATATTTCATTTCTATTAGTTTGGCTGCTGAATCAGTGTTACGTTCAGGGGACTATTTTATGTTGTAAATTTTAAGAAGATGGCCATTTAAAATGATACTGATCTTATGGTCATATTACATTTCTTTACAAGTACTTTGTGTGAATTTGACAAACTATTTATGAGATAACTAATAATTTATAATTTCAAAAGGCTCTTAGCGACCATAACGTCTACCTCGAGGGAACTCTCCTGAAGCCAAACATGGTAACCCCTGGACAAAGTGCCCCAAAGGCTACTCCTCAGGAAATTGCTGCGGCAACCGTGACAGCTCTGTCCCGTACTGTACCACCAGCAGTAACTGGAGTTACCTTCCTCAGCGGAGGACAATCCGAGGAAGAGGCATCCGTTAACCTGGACGCCATTAACAAGTTCCCTGGAAAGAAACCCTGGGCTCTGACCTTCAGCTACGGACGTGCTCTCCAGGCTTCTACCATCCGTGCATGGGGCGGTAAGCCTGATCAGGTCGCTGCTGGTCAGGCGGAGCTTATCAAGAGAGCCAAGGTATGTCAAATTAGTTTCTATAGCTTCTTTAGTTTCGTGTTGCTTTAGCAATCCTCGTTATTTTTTCTCTAAAATACGCTTAGATATTGCACAGCCGTTAATCAATTAGTTATTTATGATAAAATAATTGTAACTTGCTTTTTCCTATTAGTGCTCACTCTAATACTTATTGCTGTAGTCTGTGTTAATTTTCGTATGCTTTAATGATACTTCATTTTTAATTAATGAATTTTGATTTTATCTAGTGTAACCAGTGTTGTTTTATAATCTTATGGCAGAGTTATAATTTTTAATTATATCTTGTAAGTTCATCCATTAGTGTATTGGATAATTTGTTGTACATAGAAATGCACCATTTTTTCGTTTTGTTTTGATTATTTAGGCAAATGGAGCAGCTTGTCAAGGCAAATACGTCGCTGGCAGCTACTCCAGTGCTGCTGGAAATATTTCAAATTTTGTGAAAACTCACTCCTACTAAAAACTGTTATTTCATTCTCTCCCTCACACTTACTGTATCTGTATCTCCTAATAACTGACGTAAGTAACAAAAAAGTTGGTTGAATACTTTCAAAGAAACGAAAACGCAATATGGAGATCTTACCAATTTTATTGTGAATTATTCAAAATAGTTATCAACATTGAATGACAATGGCTAGGTTTAATGTCATTGTAGTTTATTTAACATGAAATCTGATAGCTAATTTATTTATTGTGCTCTATATGGGTATCTGATCTTGAAAGTCAATCAATGTTTTTATTGCTTCATTTAATATTTTCTGTTGCATGACCACGCTGTAAACTGCTTAATCAAATTTCTTATTAACGTCATTGTTGACATATTATGCATAAACGTACACTATGAACTATTGTATCTCACTTATATTTATGTTATGTTAATGGTCCATTAAGTATTGATAAAATGAAAAAATCATGTTTGCTAAGAACAGGTTTGTAAAATATTATTTATATAATCAATTTGCAGGGAATAAGTAACTACATATATTCACTTAGAGTCAAAATTATCTGATCCACGACCTATTCACATAGTACTTATTTTACATTTTTGTTTTTTCTTTACACAGGCCAACAGCGATGCCGCTCTTGGAAAATATGCAGGTGGCGTCGTGGGAGCTGCAGGCGACGCCGGACTCTTCGTTGCGAACCACGCATACTAAATTTTCAAGATATAAGTCTTTGTTTCTCCTTCCGTGTCACATAATTTTTTCAAGAAATTGAAAAATCCAACGCAAACCTCGGTCGTCATTCACCCAAGATCCATCAATCGTCGTGATAGGAGAAGTGAGAAAACATAATGATAAGGAAGAAACACGTTTTTAATAAGATTTTGAGTGTAAGAATCTACAGAGGGGGATGAGGAAGTATTAGAAGATGAGGAAGAAGAAGAAAAATTAGGGAAACAAAAAAAAGTCAACAGGTGATTGATTTTACATGAAATCCGTTGTTGCAATTTACAACGAGTGGTCTCGATCTTTGCGCGCGAATTAGATCAATCAATCCTGATCATGTGATCTCTTCTAATGTTCCTACTTTATAATCGGAAGGAATTAAGACAAGAGAAGCAAAAGAAGGTTTCTGTGACGAGGAGTGGAGGAGAAATAGAGATTTTTGAAAAAACGACGATTCGTGTGATCGATGAAAATTAATTATTCATCCCTAGATCACATTCAATCGGATCTGATCGTCAACGAATCATCTTGCCAAGATCCTTCGTTTCTTTTGCGATTATCGAAAATCGTTAAACCAGAAATCAATTTTTCCGTAAAATAATAAGAGAATCATGGCAGATAAAAATGAAACGAAAATATCAAAAGTGATAGGAAATTCATTGAATTTTTAATTTCCACACTCGCCACTCTGTTCTACCGGTTGAGAATTGATTGAGCTGGCTACACCATTTAACATAAGTAACTATGGAATATACGTTATGTGGCAATCATCGCGAAACATAAGAATTGGACAGAAATTCGTTGCGTAACGATCACGATAGATTCAGACTGACGAATGGTTCCGTTAATTATTAAAATGATGTGAAAAAGAAAACTCCAATCGTTGTAAGCAGATTAAACGCGAAACTCAAATTGCAACTTATTAATGTGTAAACACTTGCGATTAAATCGGATTAATGTGTATTATGTATATTATATATATATTATTATATATATATTAATATATTATTGTCAATGTCGTTATTGTATTCTACGTGTATAAAACAAATTGAAAAAAAAAACAAAAGTCATATTAAATGTTGTTTGTTAGAGCCGACGAGTCGAAACTACTACGAGGTCATACTATTACATCACACTTATACGATATGTGTATCTTATATAGTTATTAAGTAACGTATTTGAAGATAAAGAAAAAAAGTGTCTCGTACATCGATGTTATATCTAATATTTTCATTGTAATTTAGGTCACCAAATACACTGTGGAGGGTAAAAACTGTGCTTCATTTATTTTAACTGTCCCTTAATCATTTTTAGAGTAAACTTTAATAGCCACATTACTCCAGTAAAAGTCATGTATTAAATTGACATAAAAATATTTTTCATGGTAGGTTATCAAAACATTGTGGCGTTTCTCGTATGCTTTCTCTCCATCCGTTACATTGTACAATTTTAAGAGATGTGAGAAGTCATGGAAGATGTGGATGAGGTGGAGCATTTTTTCGGGGTGTATTTACTATACTGTAAAAATCCAAAATACAAAGGTCGAACGTATATCGGATATACAGTAGACGCGAAACGAAGAATCAAGCAACATAATGCTGGTGCAAAATTCGGCGGAGCCTGGAGAACTAGTAACAAGGGTCCATGGTAATATATAACCTCAAAACCTGTTCGTTTCTGGAGTCCCGTATTCAGTGGAATTTAATTATGACTCACGTAGTCACTTCCTAACGGTGATGCGATGGTGGCGCTCCTCTTACTATTTGAGTTCCCTAAATTGCAGGACTATGGTGCTGATAGTTCATGGATTTCCAAATGATATTTCTGCACTAAAAGTAAGTACAATAAAACATTACCTTCTGTTTGGCAAATCAGGTAAGCGTCCTAGTACCGGACTCTTGTATCAATACTGGGAGCTACACATGTACTAGAGAGATGAAAATATAATTTTCTATGGGTGGTAGGAAATTGGTACAAGGATCTAATACTGGAACGTTTACTTCAGATAATTATTTTTAACGTTATTATTACAGTTCGAGTGGGCCTGGCAGCATTCTGATGTTAGCCGACGTCTTCGCCATGTTCCAAAAAAGAAAAGCAAACAGAAAACATTTGATTATCGAATTTCTGTGTTAAATGAGATGCTGAAGATTGGCCCTTGGTGTCGTTTACCTTTAACAATACGATGGCTGGATTCTGAATTTGCTAATGAATATTCCATGCAAGTGTCACCGCCTTTGCATATGCCTATCAGTTATAGCAAGGTTGTGTCCCGGAAGATCGGTAAGAAAAGTAAAAAAAAGAACGCGCTAGAAAGAAAAGATCTATTGGACGATCTCGAATCGATTTTATGTTCTATTTGTGGAAAATTCGTCGGATCAAATGAGAAATTAACGTGCGTGAAACCTGGTTGTTTTCTCATATCCCACATTGTATGTCTCGCTGAAAAATTTAGCACGGACGATATGATCTTACCAATCGAAGGTACATGTCCGTTATGCAATACAAATATTTTATGGGGAGATTTAATTAGAAAGAAAATAGGCTGTTATACAGACTTGAAAAAATCCAGTACTGATTGCGATAGCAGTGATTACGATTAGTAAGAAATAATTAATTTAAATAGCACAGGATTCTTGACACTTTATTTTACGAGATAAAAATTTTGTACATTTTTTAAATATCCTGCGAACACTACTATTGTAATGTCACAATATATTATGAAATATGTGTATATATATGGTAAAATCATTTAAAATTATATATAAAGTTTGAGCCTTTTTTGCTCGTCAATTAATTGAAACAATTTTATAATTTTAGATATTTTTTAAGACAGTGATTAGAGAGCTGTTCTACGATTGATACTTAATAAACTTGTTATGTGTACTTGATACGCGTTTGGGCGTGGAAAATCATTGGCCGTTAAGAATTCAAGCGTCATTGACGATGAAAGTCCCACCACGATTTGACACAGATACTCCATATTGGTTTTGGCATGCAATTAGTACTCGTCTGAAGAACCGTTAACGGAGTGTTGGTACGTGTTCAAATAGTATATTCAAATCTTATAGAACTAACGGAAAGGCAGTTAACGTGATTGAAAGAAAGTTATTTCCTTATACGCTTTATTTGAGCTCTGACTGGTTTTTACAAAAGAAAAATTCCAAGAACACTTTTGTACAAAGAATGCGTATAATCTCTATGAAAATGAAGACCTCTTTTATGAGATTAGTCTATTTTTTTACGTGCTATAATACAAATATATTAACAATAATTAGTATAAAAGGATTTCATTAATTGTATATCTAGAATAGTTTGATCAGTTGGGCGATTATTAATAGACAAATAAATAAATAAATACAAATAAATATCGACTATAATTATCTACAAAATGAAGGTACCTGTATCAGATCATAATACTTTTAATGTCACATAAAAAATTGTTCATAATCCACAGTGCGATGCAGAAACTATGCATGGGTTTTTAAACTCAATTGTAAATGTCACTTTTGTCCAATTTATATAATTTATACATTTTATCATTGAATGCTAAAAATGTTGTCACAATTACTGCATCGCACATTAGATTATAAGTTTATCAATTTTTAGTACTATTATAAGTGCCGCATGTAATCGTGATGTCGCAAATACGATCATCGCGAATTTTAATTGATAAAAAGGTTGCAGGTTGATAAGCGATTTCGAGCGATTCCGCATCCGCAGATTCAACTAAAGCGACTAGACAAGTTTGACGGAAAAGTCTTTACACATGAAACACTGGTAAAAACAATTGATATAGAAAATCCAAAGCTAAATCACAATTGAAATTTGATTTTTCATTAAATTGGAATCGTCCTAATCGCCAATACGCAACAAACGGCAACTATTAACTGGCAACCTTAAGTCAGTAACGAAGTTGTCCTTAAAAAAGTCCAGGAGCATAATCGTCGTCTCCATAGTCGTCATATTCCTCGGTACCCGGCGGTACAAAAATTCCACCCAGGACACCAGACAAATTTTCACCAAGTCCCATGGCCGATGCCACGCCAAAGACTAATCGCATCACAATAAGTCGTACGAAGTTAACGACGTTAGTCTCTTTGCTCTGTAAAGCAATTTTCTTCGTGTCCTTTCCTTTGCAATCTGCATGATGAATCTATAATAAAATTCAATTTCAATTTTCAATCTTTTGACTCCAATCATTCACTGTCGATTTAAAGCTATTAAAAATATATCTACACTCACCGCCAAGGCCGTCACAATCAGTCCAATAAGCACCAGCCTTAATTTTGACATTTTTTTTTTTTCTTAAAATTTCTCAAGATAAAACACTATTTCAAATATCTTTACTCAAGTTTCTCAGCACTTTATCCTTACTTTGAGTCACGTTTACTCGCTTGTATCACGTTGTTGTTGAGCGAACCAAGCGTGCGCCAAGACTGAACACTTGTCGCGACTTTCGTACTTTACTATGCTCTTCTTCCAGTAAGTCAGTTGGTATGGTTGTACACACCGAATGGGCTTATTGGCTACACGCTAAGCCAGACAGACGAAAGCGACTGGCTTGATCGTAGAACTAAGTTATTCTATGGTAACGGTACACCACGAAAAAAGGCATCCAGGCCAGCTCGTCTTCTCTCATCGCTAGCGATACCATAAGCTTTGCCATTGATAGTGACAGAGCCGAGTGTCATTATGGTGCGATCAAGCAGTAAATCATTGCCACTTTTTAACATAAATGCCAAAAACGAACGAAACGATTTTTTATATATTTTATACATTATTGCTCTCGATTACAACTTTCAAATATTTATAAGGATTGATAAAATCATCTGATTGTTATATAATGTTATACTAAGTATTGATAGTCGATGAATGACCATTCGATATTAAGAACTTTACCCGTACTAGGAAATGTTTCGATTTGTCGCTGACAATCAAAACCGGTCATTACGTTAGTGTATACCTGTAGGTTAGGTATATCCCTATCGGGAGTCTTAATCAATTTTCTAAAGGGGGTTTAAAAATCTTCATCTGGCCCAGAATCTATGGTAACATCTGTGTTATTTATGGGGGTACGTATCTTCTTCGTGACGATTTTACGTGACGCTGACTCACTGACCTTCGACTTCTGTATAACATTTCCAGGAGCATCGACTGGGATCTATTATCATCATCAGCAGCGTTGATGCGCCTCTCGTATAAATTTGCAATTACGATTTTACTCGGCAATTACCGTCATTTTCTTATTATAACGGTAGACAAGAGAAACAACTCGGAATTGACAGCTGAAGAATACACGTAAATAGAACGGCGAATAACGTAAAATATTATTGTCTCTTCGTTATTTAAAATAAAGTTAAAAATAATGATTGTACAAGTTAAATAATAAACGATGCTTAATTAACTATGTATTAAGGCTACATTAAATAGTACGGTTAACACGTGCGTAACGTGCATGCGTTCCCTGAACAACTACGTGATTATTAATAGTAAGTTTGATAGCATATTTGTGATAGAAATGATTAATTGTCAAATTATTAGATGCTTGTAAGAATGAATTGACACAGTAATGGCATAATTTTCACACAAGCCTACCGTATCATAGAAACACATTATATCCACTTGATTACAGTCCATTAGAAAGTCACCGGAACACAATGCATCCGTAATTCCATATTCACGATTGGCATTGTGTCCTTAAGACACCATTTCGTAATTCAAATCGCGCATGCGCGCCTCTAAAGTGCAACAATTTCAAATGCAACGCGCATGCGCAAAGCGGAATGAATAGCACGGAGCTCATAAAAGTCAAATGAGCATCCAGCTGTCTTAATTACGTAAACTTAATTAAACGTAATGCGTGCGATAACCTTCACATCATATGAAAATAATGGAGGACTATCATTGATTGATATTCATCATATTGCCTCGTCGTATACGTCATAAACTCTAAAACAGATTTGACGTGCCGATTCAATGGAAATTAAAGAAACCCAAAACTGGCAATGAACGAGCTTCGTTAACGTTCAGTTGAACTGGTCTGTTATATTAAGGAAGCTAACACCATGTGAATCTAACGCATTGGGGACTCAGGAGTGAGATTCTACTCTTTGTGCGTGTACACCTAAGGATGATGAAAGGCAGGATGCGACAGGACCGGACGTGACAGTAGCCGCATATCTGAGCAGTTCCAGAAATCAAGGAAATACCTGGTGCGCGGATGACTGTACACCGGTCGAGTTAATGAACAAGCTTAAATAATAGAAATTATATCTAGCATCCTTTTTAAGTAAGACTTATGTATTTTTTTTAAATATTTGTATATTGCTATTTTATTTCGTTAAAGCGGCAGAATTAGTTTAGTAGGTCTCCGATGACGACGGAATCAATAAGTATATGCAATATATATATATATATATATATATATA